CGTACTTATCAAGTAAAAATTACTATTGTATGATCCTATCATAGTGGTTCGCTTTGATTATATCAAACAGTTTTATGGTTATGTGGATCTAAATCTATACAAGTCTACTTTATTCGTTTTCGAGACTCATTGAGTCCGAATATGCAACATGACTCTAGGGCTCTAGGCCCTTTGAGTATCGAGTCCTGAAATATAAAGTAACAGTCTTTGTACAACAATTGGAGGGAAAAATCCTGTCCAAACTAGACTCATAATAATAGGGAATTAATGCTTAGCAATACACTTCAAACAAAATCCTCCCAAATGTATTCACTGTCATAACTTAGGACAATAAATGCTTAAGAATACTCCATATTGTGTAAGACCAACAAATACCATAAGTCCAAGATATGAAAAGGAAACAAAAGGAAGTGCATTTATTGTCCATATATTTACAATATATGCATGTGTAAAATAATAGCCGGAACTAATTTAGCAAATAAACTTTATTCACTATATAATACTACTATAATTATTATACGACCCTTACATCTATCTATTAAATAATAATAATAATAATAATAATAACAACAACGATGATGATGATGATAATCTTTATCTTTACATAATCTTTATCTTTATATTTAAAGTAACAGTGTGACTACAACTTTTTGAGGCAAAATTGTCATCCAAAATAAGGATAAAAATGTAATTTAAGTTTCATACAATATGTGTCGCCCCCATACGAAATGTGTGCTCACCTAAGCGCATAAGAATTTACCGCCCATATGTGCCTTTAATAATTTAGAACATCTACATGAATAGAACATTTATTGCTCTTGAATTAGTCAAATGGTGCACCTTCTGTATTGAGAATCCAGAAAGAGTGTTGGGGAAATGTCAAAAAATAAATTTTACTATTTCTTATAAGCTTAATTTTAAATTCTTATCATTTCCAGAAATTATTAACAATTTGTAACTTTTTTTTCTTGATCTTTAAAAGTTGGCAAAAGTGTGGATAGCCTAAGAAAGTGTTTGTGATTGCTTCTACTTTATAAAAGTGACTGTTTGATAAAATGCTTAATAGTAAAAGTTAGTAGTGTTTGAGAAACATAGAACATTTTAAAAAGTAAAAGTTTGTAGTGTTTGATAAAATAACTATAATTGGTGTAATAAAAAAGTGAAAAGCACTTTAAAGCACCTATCAACATGCTTACAACTTTTAACTTTTAAGTGATTAGTTTAAGTAGAATTTGTCATTTGAAAACACCCGTTTTGACTTTTTTAAATTCAAAAGCTCAAAAGCACTTTTTAATCTCTTGCAAACACTTTCTAAGTAGACATAATAAGTTTTAAAAATTATTTAGCTCAAACAATTGTTTTAAAGAGCAAAAATCTGAAAAATGTAGTAAACTAAAAATAATAATATATATCTACGAACTGCACAAAACAAACATTGTGGTTCTTCGCATTGTAATGTTAAAGATGGAGAGGTCATCATTGATACACCTGATCATAGAAAAGTTTCTCAGATTTGATGCGCAAAATAGGAGACAGGAAATATCGGGAATGTCAAAGATGGAGAGGTCATCATTGATACACATGATGACATATTTATTATTACTTCAGGTGATCCTATTGCCTCAATTATTGCTAGAACTACTTATTCGTCATTTTTGAAAAAAATGGCTGATTCATCACATTTTCAACAAATTAAAGAGCTATTTTGACACCCACAAATGATGTTGTAGAGCTTATAAACAATTATATGATTTCATTGATGCCTGAAGAAATGAGAACATATTTGAGTTCTGACAGCTCATGCTCACTTGAAGGCAACCTAGGCGCTGAATTCGGTGAAGTACGTACACAAGAGTTTTTGAACACCATCAATGAATCTGGGGTACCGAACCATAAATTGGGACTAAAGGTTGGTGTTCCTATTAGGTTAATGAGAAACATTGATCAGTCCCTCTGACTTATGCAGCGGGACTTGCTTGATTATTACTCAATTATGTAAATTTGTTTTAGAAGCGAAGGTTATAACTGGAAAAAGCATTAGTCAAAAGGTTTTGATTCATCGACTATCATTTCCATCGGATAACAAAATTCCTTTCAAATTTCAACGCAAGCGATTTCCAATAATCGTTTCATTTTCTATGGTGATAAACAAAAGCCAGGACAATCTCTGGGTCAAGTGGACATATATATTCCAACATATGTATTTACGCATGATCAATTGTACGTGGGCATGTCAAAGGGTTATCTCAAATAGTGAGTTGGAGATTCTTATATGTGATGATGAGGGCCACACTATCAACACCACTAATAATGTGGTTTATAAAGAAGTTTTTCAAAATTTGTGAAACTATTTTTTACATTGTCGACATATATAAATGTTCTATTTTATAAGCTTTCACGACACATAGAGTTTATTGTTTCTCCACCTAGAGCTTATGGTGACACATTATCAATTTATGATTTATTTTAATATTTCTTTTTCCAATTTCTTCATACGATTCAAATTTTCCTACAACTACTACTACGCATATAATAAACGTTACAACATATAAACTCTATTGTCTTATTTTAATCGGCAAAATTACACATTACATATCATCATAAAACATAATCTTAAACAAGTTATTATGCAATTCTAGATATATCCCGTGCATCACACGGGTACTTTGTCTAGTTTGGAATATAAAGTAAATTAAAACGTTCTTATTTGGAACACTGTGTTTCTTCTTGAAACCGACCCATTAACATGCCCTAGGGGCGTTATTTGGATTGAGTGATTTGTGTAATTGTGTAGCCTCTGGTTCGCTTCTCCTATAAGGAACTAAGCAAGGGTTGTACTAATGTCATCCCAGGCTCCAGAGGGGTGGAGGCACATGAGTTAGCCAAGACAAAAAATGAAACATTGTAGATATGAAATTCGATACTTTTCAAGTTATATAAAGAGTTATTGTCCTACATAGGACTAAATTATTCCCGAAATTCCTAAATAGGACTATGTATATTTTTATTCCCCTAATAGGATTAGGTTATACATTTACCCTTATTTCTTCCTAACTCCCTGCACACTCCATCGCATCTCCTCCCTGCACATTTTTTCCCCTTCTGCACATAATTTCTCTCTCCCCCAACCCTACGCATCATTCATTCTCCTTGCACATAGGGTTGTATACGAACCGAATCGAGTCGAATAATGAGATTTTGTATTTGTATTTGTTTAATTTTTTCGAATACGAATTCAAATTCAAATATGAAACGAACATTAATTTCGATTTGTATTTGTATTTGTTTAACAACACAAATAGTTAACGAATCATATACGAATATCAAAACGATTTGAGCATAGGTTAAATATTAGTCAAATATCACTTTAAAATAATTTTTTTATACTTTTTATGTTGTAAATGCATGCTATGACATAATATGTGTATTTAGATTTTAAATTTAATGAATCAATGCATTTTTAGATGGTGCACAATATACTAAAGTGAATTAATTTTATGATGATTAATAAATATAAATCTATTTCAATTTTTTTGGAATAAACACTAACACACATATTAGAAATTATACTTATAATGTGTGAAATAAGTTGATAATTATATATATCAAAGTCAACCAACTCTAATTTTATTCTTCAAATCAAATACATAATTATTTGTATTGTATTTGAAAGACATTTGAATAAAAAAAAATGTTTTGTATTCATATTTATATTCTGGGTCATTACAAATGAGCTTGGAATCTGTATGCAAAAATGTTTATATGGGCCACACTTTGAGGGTATTGCTATCCTTTAAAAGTTATTATAGTGTTATTACTATTATTATTAATATTGATATTAATATTACCATTATTATTAATCGAATATATTTGATTAATATTCGAATCGAATACACTGATATTCTTATTTGTATTTGATAACAACTCGAATCAAATTTAATATTCTTATTTGTATTTGTATTTGAATTTTCCGAATTCGAATCATCCTATACGAATTCGAATCGCGAATTGAACACAAATTATTTGATTCATTTACAACCCTACTTGCACATCTCCTTCCCTAGGAATAAAAAACATAGAAGCCCAGTCAAAGTCGTCGCCGCTACCGTTGCGAAGTCCACCGCCACCGCTACTGGAGGAGATCGACTTTTCTTCTACGTAAATCGGCTTTCTCCTCCGATTCCCCCTCTTCTCTAGTTCTCTCTTCCCCATGCTCCGTTTCTTCTTTAATTATTACAAACTGCCAAGTTAAACTCGGAAAATGGCATTTTTAGTCTTTAAAAAATTTGTATTTTCCTGTGAAAATGCCATTTAGATGGCATTCTGAAAAAATCTTGACATTCACGCTGGAAACGGCTAGAACTGCAACTGAGGAGGTCACATTTGTAGCGGTTGGCGCCAGATTAACTGTGACGGTGGTTGGATCTACAGGGGCAGCGGCTGAAGGCCGATGGAGGCTAGATCTGGCCAGATCTCCGACGACGCCCATGAGATCTGCGACGGCGGCGACCAGATCTGGAACGGCGACAAGTTTTTGGGGCGACAGTGATGTTCGGTGATGACAGGCGAACGACGGTAGTCCTGTGCTCTGGTCGGCGGCAGTATGTCTTCAAAGCTTCAAGGGTGTTTTTGTCCAATTATAAATAATAAATCCTATTTAGGAATTTTTTAGACTTTAATCCTATTTTTGTAATTAAAGATTCATTTACTCCGGTAAATATCCCAAAAAAACCTTTGTGCGAAGATTGACCAACAAAGAAAACCTCAAGCGCTCAGAAAATATTTCTTCACACAACTCTAATGTTATGTTTGGACGAAGTGAATTTAAGTTAACTAGTGCAATAAAGTAAACCTAAATTTTAATAAAATCTGGGTTAACCTAAAATAGTGTTTGGAAATAAATAAGGTGAACCTAGGTTAATGTCATAAATATTGTTTGGATGAATTAACTTGTTTAATGTTGAACCGGAACTTAACATCCATAAGCCTCCACTTAGGAGTTTCTTATTACAAAAACACAAATAGACAAGGTTAACTAAAACTTGAACTTGCAATCCTAGTTAATCCAAAACAAACTGGCCATGAAAAGTCTAAACGCAGAGGACGGGGGACCGTGTCCACAATCCATGGCGAATGCTGTAGAAAATCTTGAAGAAACCTTGAAACCCTTTTACCAGAGAGCTTCAGAAGCTGAGGTTCTCCTCCTCCCCCGATTATTACTATTATCCTTTGGTTCCGTTTTATTATGAACATATTTTGTTTGACCTTGTATATGTTTATATTTATGTTTCTTCTCTTCCCAGATGTCAGTGTGCATACTTCGATTTAGATACTACCATTATGGTTATTAGCCAAAAAATTGGATTTTTATTAGGTTCTTTTCACATTGTGGTTATTTACTGACGATTTAGAAGAGTTTACTGGGATATTTCATTTCGCGGTTTACTGCTGCAGTTTTTCGAATTCTGAGTTGAATTGTGAGGTTCTTTAGTTGGGACTTGGTAGGAGTCTAACGAATACACTTCAATAACTCAGATTAGGGGGAAATAGGTTTACAAATGTTAAGATTCTGTTCGGATAACCTTCAGTAATCTTCGTTTTTATCCTTGTTCGGATTAAAGTTAAAAAAATGTAACATGTGACATGAAATTCACCCTGTTTACTCTTGATTTTGGAGGCTAGGAAAATGAAGTTAATCAGGGTGAATGATTCACTTATATTTACTAATGTGGAATAAGTTCCTAGCAGGAGTGACTCATACTCCCTCCATCCCAAAATAAATATTATAGAACTTTTGGACACACGGTCACACGGGTTAAGGAAGTAGCATAAGAAACATAAGCGACCCTCCCCTTACACCAAAAAATGAGTGAAGGTGGAATGATAAATTGTATATTTAACTTGAAAGCAGGGTAAATTGTACGTGGTAGATTTTACCAAAAAGGAAACATAACTTTGGTTTCGGACAAACCAAAAGGGAAAATTTAACAATTAATTTAAGAGGGAGGTAGTACTATTTACATATTTATCTAGATACTCACCTCAATGCGAAAAGAACAGAAGGGTGATGGAGAAGTGGAGAACCCTATCTAAGAGACTCTTCCAATAACAAGAGTGGAGTTTACTGAGACATATATATTGCTCTACGCCTTTACCAAGGTTTAGGACTTTAGGCACAAGGATTAAGCATGTCTCTAATAGAAAGTCTGAAGCGTTTAATTAACTATTAACTATTAAATCTACAAAATAAAGGCATTAGTAAAGATGGAATGAGGGTATTTAAGTTATATTTGCAATTCTACTTTTGATTTTATTGATTCTTCTGTGGACTTCAGGACCGTTTGGCAAGACTTGAAGCCTCCCTTGTCAACAAGAACAGTACGTATCTTTCTTTCTTCACCATCCCCTCTTTGAAAACACTGGTGGCATTCTCAGAAGACTTCTTACCATGTAACTGATATTTAGAAATTGTAAACAGGTTCTGGAAATAATGAGGAATTGGTAAAAATGGTTCGAGAACTCCAGGAAAAGTTGGATGCTGCGAAAGTCGAACTAGTTGCAGAGAAAGAGAAGGTCTGTATTGTAATGCTCATTATGATAGTTTTCCTTTTGAGTGATTGATTTTGGTAGCAAAATTTAAATCAAGATTTGATTTCAGGGTCTCAAAGAAGTGCAAAAGCTCAATGCAGAAAATGCAAAACTCCAAAACCGTATTATACATCTTGTACGAGCCTTAAGGGAAGCTGATAGCAAAATAGCATCAAACCAAGGTTTCTTTGTTCTGGCTCTCTGAGTTCTTTGCATAAATGTACCACCAGAAGTGGATCATTTGGCTTGTATATTCTATGTTGTGCATTTGCTATATTATACTTCATCTGGTTCCTGATAATAATGATTCTGATTTTATCATATTAATAATTCTAAAATCTGAATAAGTATTTTCCCTGGCACAATTTTTTCATGTATTGTTTTTTGCCATCACACATCCTCTTCGTATATACATTCATCATGTTTCCAGACCTAGATCAGTAACTTTTTATGAACACACTATATGACACTTATAACTGGTTAATTGTTATGCAGGCTGCCAGTGAAATTTCTTATTCTATTTTGTGCCCCAAACTAGATGGTAAGTTTTCTATGTAGTTTCCCAATTCATTTTTTTTTTCCTGGTGATAGTTTGATACATTTCTTGTTACATGGTATGGTAATATAGTGGTCATTTGAATTCTAGTTCTTTATTACCAGTTGCTTACCATAAAACCTCAAGCTCAGTTGATTTTTGATGCACTCCAGTTTAGTTCTCCTAGCCCTTATGTTCATGTAAACTAAAAGGCTAGCTATGTATCCTCAATGGCCTTCGGGGCAATATGAGGTGTATGATATATTGTTGAAGTCTATGCCACTTGGGTTCCATTAGTTCTATTTTCCCAGAAAATGGTATTTAGGTTTTTCTTATGCACATCCAGAGAAGCTGTGCACACCAGCCTCTCCGGCGAATACAGCTCCGGAGGCGGCAAAAATCTCCGGCAGAAGCAGCCAAGAGAAGCACCTTCTGATGAATTACAACCGTACTTCGTTATCTTCAGCAAATCAATAGCGATTAGATGGTCTGTCATTGAACCTTATCTTCAAGAACTTCATCGGCTACTTCGTGCTTTCCTTTTCAACTCCCAAACTTTGTGACGGATTGAATAATTTTTTTAACTCTTACCTTCTGGTGTGAAAACTTGTGAAAACTTGGGTATTCAATTCTAGCCCTAGCGTTTTGGAACTCGCTGGTTGAACCGTTGAACACAGAGAATGCTTGAGGGCTTGAGGCGATGAAACAAAGGCCGAGGAAAGAGACAACCTTGGGTATTTAATTAGGAAGGGTAGATTTGTACTTCTACAATCTACTCCCAAAAAATCACTTTTTTTTTATCAAACACTACAACTTTTACCTTTTAATAAAAATCACTTCTATTTTCAAACACTATCTACTTTTACTTAAAATCACTTTTCCAATAATCTCTTTAAAAAATCACTTTTAAAAAGCACAAGCAATCGCAAACACTCCCAAAGCCCATTTGTATTGTGTGCACGGTACAACCAGCTGTACGTTATAATTTGTGTTTGTCATGAGCGTAACCAAGAGAAGGGGTGGACCGGGCCCGGTCCGGTTCCGATTCGGGCCTGGGCCCGGCCGGGCTTGGATGGTTTTGGGTAAGGCCCAGAACCGGCCTGAGAGTCTACTGGTTCCGGTTCATTTTTTTGTGTTTTCTTATTTATTTCAACCCCCACCCCCAAATCCAAAAAAACCAAAAAAAAGCCCGAACCGGCTCACCTTTTTCATGACCCAGAACTGGAACCGGTTACCCCCTCGAGCCGGGCCTAAGCCCGGAACCGGTTTCCCGGGCCGGGCCGGTTCCGCACATTCGGATGACCCGAACCGAGTCCATGCCTAACCAAGAGCGGCCAATCTTGTATCAGATATTCTAAGACATTCATATCGTGTGTTCCTGGACTGTTCTGAAATTCAATAAGTTTTCATTTTTTTTGTAATTATTATTTTAAACATCACATTCTCGTACCCTAACATTAGGGGTGGACCGGTTCTGGTTTGGGCCCGGTTCGGGCCTGGGCCTGGCCGGACCTCGGTTCAGAAAAATGAGGCCCGAGCCCGAACCGGTGGTGTGCGGTTCCGGGTCCGGTTCTGGGCCACCCAGATTTTTAATTTTTTTTCTTCTTCTCTTATTTAACCCCCTACCCCTCCCTCTCCACCCCAAACCACCCCAAACCACCTCAAATGGCCCAAATTCCCAAAATACCTAATCCAACCCAAAACTTAAAAAAATTTCCCAAAAAAAAAAAAAAAATAAATTCCGGCCCGAACCGGGCCGGGCCGGTTCACTAAACTGAAGGCCCGGGCCCGGACCGCTTTACCACCGGGTCGGGAGGCCCGAACCGGGCACGAACCGGTTCACCGGGCCGGTCAGGGCCCGCACAGTAGCGGGCCGGTCCGGTTCCGGGCCGGTTGGCCCGGCCCAAGTCCATCCCTACCTAACATATACACTTACCAATTTTTTTAAAAGAAAAACAAAAAAAATTAAAAAAAGTATTAAGAAGTAAAAACTAAAAACTATTTCTACTTATATCACACACACAATCTCAACTAATGTTGACGATCACTCATTTCTAATTCGCTCTTAGTATTGGTGTACTGACTGTACTCATAATCCACTCTAACGATCTACTCAAGTTTATTTTCTATCATTTATCTTCGTTACTTTAATTTCTTCTTACAACTAAACATTATATCATGAGACAACGATAATCTCTACTTTTACACATTTTACAAAAATAATCTGAGTGTTAATTGTTTTAATTTTTCCATTTTTTTAAATTTTGAATCTATCAAAGCAAATACATGTATAAAACTAATAATATTATATTTGAGTTTAATCTCTTTCTATGATAAATTTAATTTAATATTTAATTTTTTTTATAAAATATAATAGAAATATTTGTATTAAATATTCAATATTCTACATAATTTGCATTAATATTTAATGTAGTATTACTAAAACTATTTTGAAATCTCTATTATAAAGAATAAAAAAAATGAATATAAATAAAATATGGATAAAGAATGAAAGTGAATAGAGAATTTGAAGAGTATGTACTATGCAAGGTTGTTAAAATCTCGATTTTACGATTTTACGATTTTACATTAATAAAGCAATTCAAATCGAAGTAAAATCGTAAAATCATATAATCGAACAAAATCGTAAAAAAATCGTACTAAAATCGTGTAGAATCGTATAAAATCGTAGCAAAATCGTAATAAGTTGTTAGTGAAAATGATTCAAATTTATTAAAATTAACAACTACAAATTGATACATCATTCCAATAATAATAATATGAATAGTGTATTTTAAAAAGTAATGTATTCTTGTGTTACTTAATTATTTTTATGTTTTAAATATGTTTAATGTTATTATTCACTACATTTACATTATAAAAACAGTTTACAAATCTTGTTTTTCACCTTGTAGGTATAGTTTTATGTAATGAAATGATATAATACCATTAACTTGCAACTTAATTTTAATATTTATTTATTTTATAATTATTAAAATATGTTTGATAAAATCTTACGATTTGCGATTCGATTTTACGATTCGATTTTCAAAAACATATATCGATTCGATTCAAAATACGATTTTAACATCCTTGGTAATATGTAGTGTTCAAATATTTCTATCATGTTTTTATGAAAAATACTGAATATTAAATTATCTTTTTTCTATGAACAAGATTAAACTCAAATGTAATATTGTTAATGTTTATACTTTGTATATATTTTGTGATTCAATATATTTAAAATAAAAATAATGAAAAACTCAACACCGTTAGCACTCTATTTATTTTTGTAAAACAATGATCTAGTTGAGATTATTATTGTGAATCTTTCAAATAGGGATTATTTTTATAAAATGTTTAAAAGTAGAGATTATTTTTAAGGGTGCCACAGGTTGATGGTCATTTCTCAATATCTTGATGTTAGCACTTTTTCCAGTTGTAATTTTATTGACGCGAGCTACATACGGAGTAGTTTATTTTCTTAACTAGTGGATGCTTGAGATGGCAACATGGCGGATCGGGGGCGACTTCAATGGGGAATTTTTACCCGGCCTGTTTGGTAATTCCCCCACCCCATTATCCAATGGGTAATTTTTACCCAAATCATAACCGTCCCAACGAATAACGGGTATAACCGCAGTTAACCGCGGATAATCGCTTTAGTAAATCAGTCATTGATATTTTAATATAAAAATAATATTTTAAAAGACGAAAAATGACATCACCTAGACGACTCTAGACTCGGACGTTATTTTAAAGCTTCGCATATCTATAAGACGAGAAAGAAGATAACCCAAATTAATTTGAACCTAAAAATACTTAATCTAAAAAATAATTAATCACGAAAAAATATAATAATAATCAAACAATACTATTAAGATCTATTATGGATTTTCATTCATACACTATAGTTAGTACATCTGTTATCCATATATACACAATGAAAATAGAAAAATCTCATCTTTCATTAATTGTGGGACAAATAATAGATATGAATGTAACAAAAATATAACTAAAATTTTTTATTGCTAGAGATTCTAATGGTTACTACAAAGGGCACGGTAGTCATCTTGGTCCCACCAAAGACCTGACTGTCGCCCCTTATGATGCCATTATTTATTTCAATCCTTTTTTTGATCAACTTCCTGTTGCTAACTTTATCATTGAACTGGATAACTCGCAGGTATGTGCTGCTATTCGAGGAGAAATGTTGCACCATTGAACTCACTGGAAAAGTTGCACGCGTATAAGAAGACAATACAATGCCAATGGTTTTGCTTTCAGATCTATTAGTACGGGTGCTAATCGGGTGGCTGAATATATCGCTTTTAATAAAATTAGAATTAGTCGATCCCAAATGCATTGTAATCAATTTGTCGGCATCGTTAAATATGATGTCATTAGCTACCCTTATCCCTAAATTTTAATTAGGCTCGGCCTATTTAATTTCTTTTTGTAATCTTTTTTAATAATAAATTGGTAAGGAGTTACCCGACCCTTATCCCATCCTCGGATGGTTTGCCACCGGTGGTTTAAAAAAAATATAACTAAAAATAAATGAGGCGGGTAGTCGGGTAATAAGGCGGACATATATAAAACCGTAATCATCTGTTACCCGTAAAAACAAAATGGCTATTCTCGACCCCATACCTGTAAGAACAAAACATGTATTCCCCATTAATTAATGCGGTTTTCACCATTATGTTCAGGACAATTCAATGGGGATATCCATCCGATTGATCACAATTGAAATATCTAGTGGACGCATATGTAATTATGTATAGATTTTGGTAAACCCACAGTCCCACACTACAACGATAAGAAATGATGACATTTAATTTAATGGGTGAAGAAAGAGAGAAAGAGGAACGAACAAAACACCTGCCCGCATGCTCTGCTAGCTACAAGGAAGGGAAGGGAAGGATTTGATCTGGAGCTTCCACCTACACCACACCCACCACCACCATGCCCCCTTTCCCGCATCACACCAATCTCCCTTCTTCACATCTTCCTCCCCTCTCCTCCTCACCATCTTTCTCATTTTAAACCCACATTCCCACCACCACCGCCAACCGACGGAGGATCAAGAATCGCCGCCGTCAAGCCATGGTCTTCTCGATGTCCTCTTCCTCATCATCGTCTCCATCAAGAGAGCACGCCCTTTTCATCTTCACCCTCATCATCCTCTGGTACTCCTCCAACATCGGCGTCCTCCTCCTCAACAAATTCCTCCTCTCTAACTATGGCTTCGCCTTCCCCATCTTCCTCACCATGTGCCACATGACCGCCTGCGCCCTCCTCAGCTACGTCTCCATTGTCTTCCTAAAGGTCGTCCCTTTCCAGCGCATCAAGTCCCGATCTCAGCTCCTCCGCATCTCCACCCTCAGCGTCGTCTTCTGCGCCTCCGTTGTCGGCGGCAACATCTCCCTCCGCTACCTTCCCGTCTCCTTCAACCAGGCCGTCGGCGCCACCACCCCCTTCTTCACCGCCCTGTTCGCCTACCTCGTGACCAGGAAGAGCGAGGCTTGGGTTACCTATGCTGCTCTCGTCCCTGTCGTCGCCGGAGTTGTCATTGCCAGTGGGGTTTGTATTTTCTCTACTTCAATTAATTCATTGGTTAATTA